CTCAGGTCATGATCCTGGAGTCCCGGGATCGAGTCCCGCATCGGGCTCCCTGCTCAGCGGGGAGTCTGCTTCTCCCTCCGACCCTTCCCCCCACCATGTGCTCTCTCTCTCTCTCATTCTCTTTCAAATAAATAAATAAATAATCTTTATTTATTTACTTGAAAAAAGATTTCTAGGACTACCTCAGGTGTGCCCCAAGTGGAGCACAACTCCAGACCTAGTCAACGCTGTCACCCCCCCACACACACACACAGAGCCAACCCCAGGCCCCAGACCCCAGCATGGAGTCTGCTTAAGATTCTCTCTCCTTCTCCCTCTGCCCCTCCCTCTCTCTCTCAAAAATAAAGTAAAATAAAATAAAATAAAATAATATATTGAACCAGTCTTACATACTTGGGATAAATGCCACTTGGTCATGGTGTACAATTCTTTTTATACACTGTTGGATTTGATTTGCTAATATATTGAGAATTTTTGCATTTGTTCATGAAACATTGGTCTGTAGTTTTCTTATGATATCTTTGTATGGTTTCGGTTTTAGGGTAATGCTAGCCTCATAAAATGAGTTAGGAAATTAGCTCACAGTTTCTGTGGGAGTGAGAAACTTGAGTGTGGCTTAGTGGGGTGCCTCTGGCTTATAGTCTCTCATGAGGTTGAAATATGGTGTTTGCCAGAACTGTGGTCTCATCTGAAGGTCTGACGAGGGGGATATCTGCTTTCCATCCCACTCATGTGGTGTGCTATGATTGGGTTCTTCTTGGGCAGTAAGATAGAGGACTCAGTCCCTCACTGGCTACTGCTGGAGGCCACTCCATAGAGCAACTCACAACAAGGCAGCCAGCTTCCTTCTGAGCAAGAGAGGTAGAGAGAACATCAAAAACAAGTCACAGTCTTTTTATAACCTAATCTTGGAAGGGATAGCCCATCACCTCTGCAACTTTCTATTTGCTAGAAACAGGTCACTAAATCCAGCTAACATTAATGGCAGTGGGGAGTGGGGGTGTAATGAGGGTGTGAATACCAGGAGAGGGCTAATTGGAGGTAATTTGGGAGACTGCCTACCCCCCCCCCCCCCGAGGATATTCATCCACTGATGGGAGCCATCCCACAAAGAAAGGAAGTGACAATACAGGAGAGAAGAGTGAAGATCTAGAAAATGCAGAGGAAATCCAGGCACAGGACCTCTGCAGTTACTGGTCCACTGCATTTTTCAATGCCCTTTCATGACTTGGCTACATGCACCTGTCTTTGATCAGAATATGTCAAAGAAATTTGTTAAATCTCTTATCTGTCCCAATAAGACCTGTCATTTGACCTGCTTTCACATCCATTCCCAATCTGATCATGTGATCATCGCCCCCGCAGAGAACCACACCCCAACTGTATTTCTCCCCTTTCAAGTATCACCTTCCACTAAAGTATCTGGGGAACAGAAATCTGTTTGTTGTCTGCCCATGGGTCAGTCCAAGCTGCAACTTGTTCCCTCCACTACCGCCTACATCTCACCCACTGATTTCTGCACAGCCCTGCCCTGATCTGCTCCCTTTACCACGTGTTACCACCTGTAAGCCCCAATTAATAGCCTCCTTTGATTTAATGCTGTCAACCATGATGACCTCTGAGAGATGATATGAGCACGGCAGCTGTCCTGTTGCCGACCCCTGCTTTAATTCCCCATCATGTGACCAACCGCCTAGACTACCACAGCCCACACTGTTCCCTTGTCCCTGAGGATGTGGGATTAACAGAAGCAACCTTCAGCACAGCTCAGGATAGCAACGATAAAGCAATTTAAAACCAAACATTAGACATCACTGTTCTTAAAAAGCCTGGGTCAGTCTAACCCTGTGAAACTCTCATAGATCTCTTTCTGGCTCAGGCCTGGCCTTCTGCCATGTTGTTGGGCTGCCTGCTTCTCTCCTCCCTCTTCCCCAGCTTCCTTTGCACACTGAAAAATTTCTCTTCAGTTACGCTGAGCAATAAATGCCCTTACCCCTAAGTAGGAAGCAGGTTCAAAGCTTACTCCTGCATATCTAAAAACCGTATTAAATGACTCTGCTAAAGGGAAGAAGGGCACACATAGTTGATTCTGGACTCAAAACAGAATCAAATCAAATACAAAACCAGGAAGACGCCTTTAACTTAATTTTTTCTCTTACATATCCTGATGGAAAATTTTAAGGCATGGCTTCTCTCTTTTGTCTCTATAGTAGAAAACAGTAAAAACAATAGTAAGATTATACACACACACTACATTACTATTACTGTGAGGGTTAATTTTATGTATCAGCTTGACTAAAGTATGCCCAGATAGCTGGTAAAATTTTATTTCTGGGTGTGTCTGTAAGAGTGTTTCTGTTCAGAGATTAGCATTAAATCCAAAGACGGAGGGAAAGAAGATCTGCCCTCACCAGTGTATACACATGTTATTCAGTACAGTCCACTGAAGGCCCAGATCGAACAATAAGACAGAGGATGGGTAAATTCTCCCTTTCACCTTGACGTGGAATGTCCATCTCTCCTGTCTTCCCACATCAGAGCTCCTGGTTCTCAGCACTTCCGATTGGGACTGACTGAAACTACTGGTTTTCCTAGTTCTTCGGGTTGCAGATGGCATATCGTGGGACTTCTCAGCCTCCTTAATCGCATGAGCCAGTTTCCATAATAAGTATCTTATATATCTCTACGTAGCCTATCGGTTCTGTTTCTCTGGAGAAACGGATACATATCCATGCCTCTGTTTATGCTGCACCTTTAGCCTGGCTGGTCTTCACTACATCTCCTTCCTCTTCTTGATCCTCCCCCTTAGTCTAGGCCCAGCTCACAACCCCCTCCTTGGGGGAAACTTCCCAGACTGCCACAGCCCACACCAGTCCCTTGTGTCTGAATTTGTATTAGGTTTAGGTGTCATGGTTTATTTCTTTGTTCCCCAAGTAATTTTCTCTGCTAGCCAAGTTATAATGTTCCCTGGGTTAGAGGGCCAGGTCTCTCTCTCTCTCTTTTTTTTTTTTTTTTAAGAGGAGGGGTTGGGGCAGAGGATGAGGGAGAGAATCCTTTTTTTTTTTTTTTTTTGAATATTTTATTTATTTATTTGACAGAGAAAGACACGGCGAGAGAGGGAACACAAGCAGGGAGAGTGGGAGAGGGAGAAGCAGGCTTCCTGCCAAGCAGGGAGCCGGATGCAAGACTCCATCCCAGGACCCTGGGATCATACCTGAGCCCAAGGCAGACGCTCAACGACTGAGCCACCCAGGCGCCCCTGAGGGAGAGAGAATCTTAAGCAGGCTCTACTCCCTGCCCAGAGCCCAAAGCGGGGCTCCATCTCACAACCCTGAGATCATGACCTGGGCAGAAAATGAGTTGGATGCTTAACCCATTGAACCACCCAGGTGCCTCAAGAGGGCCAGGTCTTAACACCCCTCCTGTGATGTGATATTTATTTCAGCATGGGTGCATAGTGTGAGGTTAATAACCTACTTGTTCAATAGATCAATTAACTGGAGCCACTTATCCTTGTCCTCTCCCCACAGTGTTTGGAATGTCAAAGGGCATCTCAGGGGTTCTGAGAGGGGCCAGGAATAATTCATCTCTCAGGCTAGGGACTGAAGGGGGAGAAAAAGAGCAAAAGAGCTAGAGCGCATGCAGTTACCATCAGTCAGCTTTTGTCCTTAACTTTGCAGGTCCTTCAATTTGATTTTATCAGCTCACCCTGAGGTGACGGGCTGAAGACAAACTACTGCAAAACAATAACGAGATGGATCTCTATCACAGAATCTGGGTTCCTGGGCGCCTATCTCATCTCAGATCCCAACCTCTGCACTTGCTTTGTCTTCTGCTTTCTGTCTCCCCTCCCCAGCTTAGGTGCCTCGGTTTAGATGCCCTTACTTCTGGAAGCCTTCCAGGCCCTGCAAGTCTGAGCTAGCAGGGCCCAGGGGCTCCGCATCCCCTCCCCGCACAGAAGCCCAACTGTACTGTACGGGCCTGCGCCTCTGGCCCAGGCACGAGCTCTCTGACGCCGGCCGGGCGCAGGACTCCTCGCGCGCACCCGCCAACGAGGATACCGCCCGCAGGCCACACGCATCCGGGCAACTGGGCCAGCCCCCCAGGCCTCCCGCCCCCACGCCCCTGGCTTCCTCCGCGAGCTTGGCCCTCGCGCGCCGCACGCGCGCCCGCACACCTCGTCTCCTGGGCGGCGCCCCGCGGCCCCGGCCGCCGGCCAATGCCCGCCGCCATCTTGCCCAGCGGGAGTTCCCAAATGGGGCTGCGGCTCCTGAGCGCCGCGCTGCTGTTCGTGGGGAGCGCTCTCCCGGCCTCCGGACTCGACTCACTTTCCGAAAGGACTGGGCGCAGCTCCTGGCGGGAGCAGGCCGGTGCACCGGGGTGGTGGGAGGCTGGGCAAGCGAGGTGGAAGGCGCTCCAGGCCCTGGAGGAGGGAGCGGAGGCCGCAGAGGGCAGTATCCATTCATTCCTCTCTTTCAGCAGCCTCCCGGGCGTGCTCCCCACTTCTGTAGTGTTTGAATTTGGGTCCCTCCTTTTCTGCTGTCCCAACTGCCTTTAAAGTGTACAGACCTACGCAGTCCGATTAATTATGACGGTGTGGTAGTCATTGTAGCAAAAATGCCATACGCTTGTGGAGCGCAGCTCTGTATGCTCAAAACATTGAGGTTTGTCATTCCCATTTTATTTTATTTTTTAAAGATTTTATTTATTTATTTGAGAGAGAGAATGAGATAGAGAGCATGAGAGGGGGGAGGGTCAGAGAGAGAGGCAGACTCCCCGCTGAGCAGGGAGCCCGATGCGGGGCTCGATCCCGGGACTCCAGGATCATGACCTGAGCCGAAGGCAGTCGCTTAACCAACTGAGCCACCCAGGCGCCCTGTCATTCCCATTTTAAAGATGAATAATTCAGTGGAATTCAGAGTTGAAAAGGCTCGTAGGTGACCTTGTCCTACTACACGTGAGAAAAATTCACCCAGCAAGTCAAATGGCGACTATTAGAACTTGTAGCTTTTGATTCACCAGTCCCAGGCTTTTTAATTGCCATTTTGCACAGGCAACAACGTGATACCTGGTCAGAGAAACTTACCTCATTTTTATATTTTGGGGGAATAGAGTTTTAAAATTAACGAACTGTGTTGATTTAATGCCTTTCTATTTGTAGTGATCATTTAAGGCATGTTTGTCTTAACTCTCCTTTAAGATTTTTTTTTCAAAATATGGGCATGCCTTAGGTATACAGATTATGTTTTTTAAATAGGAATCTAAAAGATTATATTAGTATGTTAAGATTAGGAATACATATCATTAGATGTTCAGTACAAATAATATATGATTTTTATTTTTAGATTGTGGGACAGCACCACTTGCAGATGCATTGGAAGGGTCTCGGATAATAGGCGGCACAACAGCTCAAACTGGCGCATGGCCATGGGTAGTTAGCCTACAGATTCAATCAGGCAAAATTCTGGCTCATATATGTGGGGGAAGCTTAGTGAAAAATAAGTGGGTCCTCACAGCTGCCCACTGCACTAAAGACATTAGGTATGTATTCAGAACACAACTCCTATTTTATTCTCTTGGGGGATATTTTGAAGTAGTAGAGGACCATTTGATTTCAGCCATGTTCAGTTAAGCTGTGTGTTTACAAGTAGCCATAATGCTTTACACTAGCACACTGTTTGTTGAAATGAATCCTGTAAATCAGAGGTCAACATACTTTCTGTAAAGACAGTACAAATGTTAAGGACTCTGTCACAACAACTCAACCCTGCCACTATAGAACCAAAGTGGCCATAGACAATACAATTGAATAAGTGTGCTGTGATCCAATAAAACTTTATGAACACAGAAATTTGAACAAAATATTTTTTGGGTTTTTTTTTTTTTT